CTATGAAACAGAAGAAAAATAAACATTAAGGAAATAAGGAAATAATGAAGGAAATACGAACATGAGATTGCTTGTATCTTGTTTCTTTCCGCCTCGACAGTCCAAGGACTACTGTTGGGAAATTACTGTAGGAGATGATTATAGAGAAGTCAGTCAATTTTGAAGGACAATTTCTCTCTCTCTCCCTCTCTTTCTCTCTCTCTCTTTCTCTATTTCTCTCTCCTCTTTTCATCTCTCTCTCTCTCTCTCACTCACTCTTTCTCTCTCTCTCTCTCTCTCTCACTCTGTCTCTCTCTCTCTCTCTCTCTCTCTCTCTCTCTCTCTCTCTCTGAGTGAATGAGTGAGTGAAGATAACATTTCACACAGTGGATATCATACTTGTGTTGATAGAAACCGTGAATGAAGAAAAGGCAATGCCAAATACAACAAGCGCTGGTATGCAAAAAAAAAATCAATTATCCATTTCACCTATTTAGAATAGATCTTTGCCGATAATTTGTTTCGTATACATCATAACTCTGCCCTGTCCCCCATTCTCTTTATGCCGTACTTATTAATACTACCTAATCCATACAACGGTCTTTACGTATATAAAAACAATACAGAGGTCTTTAGGCATACAAAAATAACAAATAAATGCCTTTAGGCATAAAGAAAAAAAAACATGTAAACGTCTTTTGGTCTGTGTGTATATAAAAACCCATACATAGGCCTGTAGGTATACAAAAACCACAAGACCCATACAAGTGTCTTTCTGCAAAGCTGTGCCAAAGCATCAATTTCTGCAAGAGAAAAGAGAACCTCACACAGAAGAGGAAACGAGAAGAGGCATCTTTTCTCTCCGTCAGGAAGTCGTGTGGGAGATCCACGCCCGCACCCTCGGCTGGATCGGGTTCGGATTCTCCGGCAATGGGCGGATGGCAGGGGCGGACATCGTGACGGCGTGGGTGGCAGATGGGCGTCTCTTCCTGCAAGATCGCCATGGTGTAGGCGAGACGACACCCCCCCTGGATCAGAAAGGGGACTGGCGCCCTCTCCATGCCCGTGAAAACGCCACCCACACTGTGCTGGTGGTGGCACGGGCCATTAACACGTGTGACAGTCAGGACTTCGTTCTCACGGTTAGTTTGACTTTATTGTCTCGTTTTCTAATCCATATGTTCCTTCAATGAATAGCCTATGGATAATTCACAGAGATACATTAACCTCTCTTTACTTTTAAATTTCTAATGCATTGTTCCGTCAGTCCATTAACTAATAAACAACGCCCAATCTCCCGTTGACGAATATATATATATATATATATATATATATATATATATATATATATATATATATATATATAAATGCTAAAGTATTACCTCTCATTAACCAGCAGATAATTCTTCAACCTAATATGTACAACCGCCTCGCCATTAACATTTATCCTTTTAGAACGAGACTGTGCGGCTGATCTATGCCTGGGGAGACACCGATCCAACCGGGGACACTCCAGGCTATCACGGAATGCGCCGAGGAAACAGGTAAATGTGCTCGAAAGCCCTTTCCTTGGAAATTCCAGCTTGGCGAAGATAATGGTCCTTCGATATGACGTGGGCGCTTTCTCATTGTATGCGGGTCATGGCCAGGGGCTGCTGTAACTGCTTGGTCACCAGTGTTGGAAGTGGGCAACTGCTATTTGTTAGCTCACCACATACATATGGAGAATATGTAACCTCTTTACAAACACGCATGCACACGCACACGCACGCATGCGCGCGTGCGCTGTTGGAAACCCATCGAACCATGAACACCGGATTAATAAGGCTTCATTGAACACGAACCTCCAAGCTCTTCATCCTCTACTCATAACAAACCCACTGATTATTCTCATTCAAAAACGCCCCCCCCCCACCCCCTAATTCTCAGCCAAAACATAATCCCCCTCTCCCTCTTCCCACATTCGCTTCTGATCATTCTCTTCCCTCTCACAGATTCGCTCTCGCTCTTCTCCCGTTTCACCGGCCGGTTCGAACCCCGGGAACCGAGTCCTCGAGTGTCCAAACATGGCAAGTTAGACAGGAGGTCACGCTGCCCCCTGGACGCCATACCTTCTACTGGTGCCACATGGAGAAGGTGCCAGCGTGGGAGACCAAACATCAGTACATAGGGGTAATGTAGGCCTATGTCGGATTCACTATAGGCCTTCTTTTTTAATGGAGAGGTAAAGTCGTGACGTCATCTTGTCATAGCAACATATTAATTAATAGTACATATTAATCGAAATATTAGAAATAATTGAATTTTGCAAGACGGTCTTAGATGTACAGGAATTGAGTAAGCGGGAAACATTTTTCGAGTTGCCAGATGCATTCCTCCCACCTCGATTATTTTTGTGCTTATTCGTACTTAAATTGGGTTTTTATAACACAACATAACCCAGCAAAAGATATCAAAAGCCATCTAGGATATATTCCAAAATACTCGGTACCAATAGAAAATAATAAAAAATAAATAGATA